AATACAGGTATTATGAGGATATTAACATACCCTAGTGGACAAAAGTATTAACCATCCGCCATACTGATCGAGAGTAAATTTGTACCTTACCTTCCGTGTTTCGTAATGATCATCTCCGTTGTGTGCTGGTGAAACTTGAGCCACAGTTCTCGATGTACCAAACAAAGATATATCGGAAGTTTGGAATTATACCATTTCAAACTCATCAGCGGACTAGAATTTTGTAAGTTCTCTGGACGACAGACATCAGCGGGTCTTGTGGATGTAGGTGATGATTTAACACAAACGGGAACATCAATGGACCCGTATTCTTGAACGTTGTTAAACCCCGTACGTGAAAGGTGAGCTTGGTTGTTGGACTTTCCATCCATTCTTGGTTTTGCTACAGAATAATGACCTGGATACATAAAAAGGCCTGATTCGGAATACGTTGTAGATGGTGACTGAATCCCTCCATAGTAGTTGTCACAAAACCCTGTCAAACCGTTCGAATATTCAGGCATGTGCGTCAGATACTTAATGTTAGGTCCCGGGGAGCTAATATATTGTGTTTTAGACGAGGCTAAGCCAGAGATCACGCTACCATTATTGATTTGCTGGTTCAGACTTGTTACCGAAAATCCAGTTTCATTATCCCTTGGTCTGTCGTTATTTAGGGTGTCATTTATGAAATTACGACCCGTGTATTCGTATTTCCTGGCCTGGTATTGACAAGATGGAAACTGGATATTCTGGTAAAGCGGTGGAAACCAGTAATTACAGGAACTCAATGAATTCATCATGGCAAAAGTCCTAGACACACAAAAGAAGGCCTGGATTATCTCGAAACTACGAGGTCGACAAGTTTAGGCGAATATGTCCGCTTTCCACATAATTAATCGCGAGGAAATCAATCAATCATTTTAATAGGAGAAACGACTCAGTTCAAACTTGTAGAAAGCGTCATAAAATCTCAAAATAACTTGGTCTTGTTATGTCCGAGTAAACTCCACAACCAGCATGAACGACCAACGATACGCAAGAAATAATCAAATATCTAACCCTTGATTACCGAGAAGTCACTTTCTCAATCTTACCTCCTATTGGACGGTGACCTAGCTGACCTCCAGTAGACACCTGCAACGGGTATTGGGCACGTGGTCTTAGGTAGGTCAGACCAGACAAAAGCGGGGAAGTGGGCAGCTAGAGATTAAGTCACCATAATTGCACCAAAATAAGGGAGCATACTAAAATGTACCGTATAAGTAGTATATGATTAGTTTGGCTAATCACGAGTCGCCATATTTAATTTCATTAAATCGTTAGAAATTGTTAAGTCACTACACTATTAAATCTGTCGAGTGATCACCTTTTGTCGTGACGTTGATGAAAATAGCAGAGAATGAAACGAAAATGTAAATTATAAACATCCAGTACAGGCTCGTGAGATAATTACCACAAACGTTAGAAAGTCTTAGTTTTTTGAAAGGAACAGCTAAATCAAGTAATTATATCATCTCAGCATAGCCAACGTCTATAAGATAAATAATCAATTAACATTTTTACTCCCATTTCCCATGGCCAGGTGGTTAGGGCGCTTGACTCGCAATCTGTGGGTTGCGGGTTCGAATCCCTGTATCACCGAACATGTCTGCCCTTTTAGCCGTGGGGGCGTTATAATGTGACGGTCAATCCAACTATTCATTGGTAAAAGAGTAGCTCAAGAGTTGGCGGTGGGTGGTGATGACTAGCTGCCTTCCCTCTAGTCTTATACTGCTAAATCAGCCCTCCTGTAGTTTTGTGCAAAGTCCATAACAAACAAACAAGCCATTCCCCTCACCTGAAGGGTGATTCCCCCTTACGGCTTAGTTGTAAAGCTACGAAACAATTAGTGACTTTTCTGACTGACATCTTTCTTTCACTTGACACGTACTGCTACTAGCACTGTTTCTCTCATGAAGAGTATACATATACTTATTTATAATTGAAATATGTCTCTTATTGCAACTAATTACAAACCCAAAGGTGCGAGTTTTATGGAATTTCAGCTCATTTTCATCAAGTATTAGTGCATTTTGAGTGATTTTTTGGTGTGTTTGTGTGCTTTGTTTGAGCGCAAAACTACACAATGGGATATCTGTACTCTGTCCACCACGAGCAATCGAACCGCGGATTTTAGCGTTCTAAGTCCGTGAAGTTACTGTTGACTGACTTGGGAAGGCCACGGGGTTAATGAATTTAATTAGAATTCTAGAAAGTTGTTAGTGACAACATAATTTCCTATGAACGTGTATTTGTAATGAAGTTTTAATCACGTGAACTTGAGTTCCGGTTATTAATATTTACGTGAAAAAAATGCCTTTGAAAGGCGGTTAATCAAGAACATTTACAAAGTTGTTAATTTTAGGATGCTCCCTTTCCTACCTCGAGTCTGAAGCGACATCACGTATATCTAGCACCCTACTGTGAAACAGGCGTCTTCAAATACTTGTCCCTCCCAGTGTTAATACAGTAATTAGGGGAAGGTAAATATTCACACAAGGAGGTCCGTCCAGTCTTATTGACCACTGTCCGTAGTTAGTCTAGCCTCTGGCCACAAAAATCAGCAATCTAAACAGGATGGAGACAAGAAGGCTTCGAAAAAAAGACACCCGTAGCGTTGTGGTTTAAAGAGGAAAATCATAATGACCGTTGGAACATGGAACTATTGTCAGCCATGAAACCTGTGTAATGTTGTGGTAGTCCATGTTAGAACTACAGTGAAGAAAAGTAGTACCATCCTATTTAAGTTCCATCTGATCCGCGAGATATTTCTGACCTGGATCACCGTTTTCTCTTTGGTTTTCTTTAAATAAAAAACTTCGACAATATTTAGGAGTTCATATTTCAATCGCAGTACAAAATTTATTACACAGAAAATTATATTAATTATGGTCATTTTACAGAAACCCGTAGCAACAGTGTGTGTGGGGGGGGGGAGGTGTTACCGGAAACCCGTAGAAACAATGGGGGTGTTACCAGAAACTATAGTCTAAATTAACCAAGCAAATGTGAGAACATGAAAACATGGTGTTACACTATAACCTAAATTAACCAATGGTTTACACTTTCCAGTCTCTAAAAAAACAACAAGATAACAACATATTGTTTGAATTAGTTTATCGACAATTCTCTGATAGTTTTAATCATAAAGAAGTCCGCAATTATAACGCTGAGCCACTGGTGGAGGGGGGAGGGGTATCAAGGGAGTATGTTTATTATTCCAAAACAAGTTCAATATTATTTTATTTTTTAACAATTTTATTAATATTATGAATCATGTAAATTATGTTCTTCTATTTCATACCAAGATTCAATAAATTAAAAGCGTCATTTCTGGAGAGGAATATATAAATACATATTGTTATTGATCAGTACAAGCTACCATCTACAAGGAATCCTCCGATCCGTCGATTTCCTGTTACTTCGTAACGAAAGTTCTATACGTCAAAGTATAAAATTATGAATCGTTTTAAGTCAGAGTTATAATTAAAACAAAATTTGACGGTTATTTATGTAATCAACCAGTATTTTCCAGAATTGTTATTGAAACTGAGGCTATCTTGTATTTAAGAAAAGCGCGGTATCGGTTTTTGGAGAGAATTGTCCACTCCAGTTCTTCAGTTTCGTGGTTTTGCCACGAGGTTAAAAATGTCCTTTCGATGATAAACCTGAAATTAAACTTCAACAACAATTAGATATCAGATACTACTAATTTTATAAGTAGAATTAGACAGAACCAGTTCTTTGTATTATAAGCAGAATTAGACAAAACCAGTTCTTTGTGTTATAAGCAGAATTAAACAGAGCCAGTTCTTTGTATTATAAGCAGAATTAAACAGAGCCAGTTCTTTGTATTATAAGCAGAATTAA